AACAGACACAGCAGATTCGAGTAGGGGGGGGGGATTCAACCCCAGGCTTGCTGGGCCAGCCAGTTCTTCACGGCCGTCCAGAAGGCCTGAAGGGTGGAGAGGGTCCGAATCTCCACGGGGAGCTCGTTCCAACTTCTTTGTTCAACTGTTGGAGAGAAGAAAAAAACCTGAAAATTCAATGGCCTCTTGAAAAAGCACCTTTGGGACGTTTGAGAGAAACGTGACCAAGATATTTGTTTTCTCTTCTAGGCTCCCAAAGAGCAAGTCCTCGTGGAAAGAAGTTTGTCCTGGCTTTCATGCAAGATTACCAGAAATATCCATCTGACACTAAATACCATTTGCAAATCACTGGTCATCATCCCTCAACTGTTATCAAAGTGTCAGTAAGCAAGTATAAGTTCTGGAAAACACTTGTAATCAGCAAAGGAATCACAACAACAGTTAAACTCCCAAGCACATTTGGGATGAGTGGATCACATTATTTCGATATGACTGTGTTCATTGAAGCTAACAAAGACATTTCAGTCTTTGCCCAGGGTCACAGAAGGTCTTCGGCTGGCACTACTCTTGTGCTCCCAGTCCACCAGCTAGATAGAGTGTATCATGTGGTAACTCCAAATGATAGCAACACAGATGGTGTCAAGGAATTTGCCATTGTAGCTCAGGAAGCTGCCACTCGTGTTGACGTTTCCCTAAAAGGAGATGTGCTACTCAACGGGCAGGCTTATCCTGCAGGGAGTAAACTTTCTGTTAATCTTGAGGCATTCCAAGCACTTCAGCTGCAAAGCTCAGATGATTTATCCGGTACCAGAATCGAATCAAAAGAACCCGTGGCTGTCTTCAGCGGGCACAGCTGTATTATGAAAGATAACGCCTGCAACCAGGTTTTTGAACAGCTGCTGCCCAGTTCAAGCTGGGGCACCTTCTTCATTGTTCCTCTGCTCCCTTTCCAAAACAGGAGTGGCACACTGTATATAACCGCTTCCCAAAACACTAATGTCAAATACCAACATGGGGATGTGCTAAGCTCCCACACCCTGGAATCTGGAGAAGTCATGCAGCTAAGCAAATATTCTTCTGAGCCAGTTTCTATTTCCGCCAGTGCTAGAATCCAAGTGCTTTACTTCTCTACTGGTGGTGAAAGCCAAGACCAGAGGCCATTGCTACTCAATATTCCAGCGGTTACAAGCTTTTGCAGATCATATGATCTTCCTTATGTGAAGCAGTTGAATAATTATGCAATCATCGTAGCCAAAACCTCTGATCCCAGTGGAATCAGAATACAGAGGAGGACCTTTGCAAAAAGCCAGTGGAAATCAGTCCCAGACACAGAATACCATTGGACTGAATACAGCTTGGCTAGAAGAGGAGGTGTCCTTTCTTCAGAGGGTCTTCTTGTTCCACTTGGGGTCTTCATCATTGGATTTTCACAGTATGATGGCTTTGGCTCACAGGGTCATTGTACCTCCCGTAAGTACTGTCAAACTTAATACCATTAATTCTGTGAGTCTTTCCGATTGTGTGGGTTTGCGTTTTTGCTTGAAAGGAGCTCTTCCTGAAGGAAACTCTATATCACATTTGTTTTTGTTTGGACAAGAGCTCTTTATTCCATATGATTTATAGTTCATTGAAGGATTAAGCCAGTTGAGTGAAATGCACACGGGAAAACTATCCTTCGAGCAGGGGTGTCAAAGTTGCGTCATCACGGCTGTGTCACATGACATATCAGGACTTTTTTACCACCTTTGCTAAACCGGGCCTACCTTGGAGACAGTATGATACTTAAGTACAGTTTTGTCAACCTTGGAAGCTTCAAGGTGTGTGGACTTCACCTCCCACAATTCCCCAGGCAGCCATATTGGTTGGGGAATTCTGGGAGTTGAAGTCCACACATCTTAAAGGAACCAAGGTTGAGAAAGTCTGCTCTAGTATCATGCATCGTTATGGCTCACATCAATTTGCTTCTCCGATAAGTATTTAAAAGCTTAATATTACTTTCAAGAAATAAGAGGGGATATGGAGTGCAAATATAAGTTTCTATATATATGGAAAATCAATATACAGCTAGTCCTTCATTAATAACTACTGATTCAGTGACCATTTAAAGTAACAATGGCACTGAATGAATGGTGGTTATGAACAGAGTCTTTGAAGTTCTGGCCTTCCCAGCACCCCTGAAGTGATGTGATTTGGTTGCTTGATTGTTTCCTAGTATGATTTGATTGTTTATTTGTACCCTATGACTATCATTAAGTGTTGTACCTTATGATT